CAATTTCGGTGAGAGTGCCACTATGTTTAGGAGCTTCTGCAGACTTCGACTTGATCTCCTTCGATTTCGATACATTTCCTACCATAAACCCGAACGTTGTGAATTCTCGAAACCCGCTTTTAAATTGCTTTGCCAACTTCGCCTGTGCTCATTTGCTTTGGCTCTGTAGTGTGGCTATTGCTATTCGCTCAAGCTTGAGCCGAATTACAGGCAAAATATTTGAAAGTTTCAAGGCGTATCTACTCAATATAAAATACGAGGACATTGAGCCACAATCATATTATCTACAGAAATGCTGAGCAGGATGGCGCAGTGAAAAGATCAAGGAGCCACTCAATTTGAACATTCTGCACTTCCCCGTGCTAATTTAATTGCGAACGATAAAAGCCCGCATACCTAGGGCGACTGCGATAGACGCTCCAGCGGTTTTTCTTTCGCGTGGATCACTTCGCTCTGATAACGTCGCTTGTGCACCACAAAACCAGTCTTGGCATGGTCATTCACCTCGTAACTCGAGCAGATTGCGTACAAAATTTATCGCTGTTTTCGAAGGAGCTCCGCAGGCGGCAGTCGTTACTCCATCTTTGTGCGATAAGGACCTCAATCCCGTCTACAAGTATTCGCTGGTACTCGCTGAAACTCGACTCAACGCTTCCTACGCCATGAGGTTCTCTGAACCGCCAGTTTCTGCACAAGCACAAGACGAGTTATGCCAATTGGCCAGTCACTTCCTACCAATGAATACAACTGAAGGTACCATCGACACCGTCAGAGCAAAGCCTAAAATCGGTCGTCTCTTCGACGTTTCCTGCTCTGCTTTAGCTGCACTAGCGACTGTGTTGGTACGACAACACAGCCGTTCGTTGGGTAACGCTCACACAACCGCCCGGTATGATGTGTCCCCTCCGCCTCGACTTTATACTCGAGGATATGGCACAGGAAGCAGGTTGGTCTAAAGCCCGCTTGCTCGATTTTTGGATAGCCGGGGCTGAACATACGATGAAGATGCAATTGGATTCCGTGTCCTTCAGCGCGAACAGCAAACAGCTCCAAGTACGCATAGCCAGCTTCACCTGGAACCGCGAAAGTCTCAACGAACTGATGAACCGACAAGGACGTATTCTGAATGGTCAAAGGATTGTAGACGGCACCCTCGCCTCGCCAAGCTTTCTAAGGTCGGCGAACCCAGCCAACGAGGAGGTGTCTCATATGCTACACATGTCGACGCGTTAGGAGAGAAGAACAATAGCACCAGATGTTCGAAATCAGTCTACCAGGGACCCTGCCAGCCGCATCGTCGGAGCAGCATCGACCATCAAACCAGGTCTCTCCACCGATATCATCCTGATACCTTCCGGCTCAAAAAACAGTTCTCATTCTGACTCCAGACCAGCACAGATTCGCCAAAGGATAAATCCTATAATCAAGAATCTGATTTTAAACTATTTTGTATTGTATTTTATATCTATGATTGTACATTGAGAGGTTAAGCCGGATCCTGGAAATTGTCAAGAATTGGTCTCAAATTAAGAATGATCGCACCAGTTTGAGAGAGACGTTTCCATCGGCTTCTCGCACACAGCTATGGTTAACTTAGGCCGATGTCAGACTTTGCGAATCGCGCGATTCGCTAGCGTCTGCGGTCGCGTCGCGGCCAGTGAATCACTCAATTGGCTGGTACCGCAACGCGACCGCGGACGCTAGCGAATCGCGCGAATCGCTAGTAGCGAATCGCGCGATTCGCAAAGTCTGACATCGGCCTCCATCTCTCAAGCATGGTAAATACGGAAATCGAAATGACGGTTTTCTTAACTCTACGTTGATCAACTATCGTGGTTTGAATTATGCTTGTTTCCGAACAAGTAAGGGTCTGAGACAAGGATTATGTGAGCTGAAAGTGCAATTAGCGGTCACCCACGTGTGTTACACTACCTGTTGAGTGCAAATGAACCGCTTGTTACAGTTCTGTAGATAAATAATATATGTCCATCAGTTCATATCAATGTCCGCTCTTCGAAGCCCACTACTTTATATTCATAGAGAAATGTTAGCGCCATTGAAAGCGCCATTTGGTCTGTATAAAGATTATGCGTGAGCCTAGCTAGGTTGCGCATTCCTTTATTTCCCACAAAAATTCACCACCAACGATTGAAGGCCGCCTCAGGCATGCCAGAACAAAGCTGAGGGAGCGATTTTCAACATTCAAGAATTCAGATAAGCGAGTTTGTGACACCATGCACTTGGTCATCAGGAGGCCACCAACGGCGAGCAACTTTCGATGCGTAGAACCTCACCATCTTTTCGCTTCTCGACTGAAGATTGGCAGCAGACGCCTTAGACTACCCGCTACAGCTACACTATGTTCCTTTTACATTACGCACAATGCGATATGCTAATCACAGCAAGTACTGTTCTGACATGTTCTCACTCTGATAACATAAGTTTACCATGCAACAGTTTTCCTTTCAATACACGTTCATGAATCTGACCTAGCTAAGATGTACTGAAGTGTTGATTCAAAATGATTTCCTACCGAAGCTATATCAACACAAGCCAAACTGACCTATTAACATAGCTGCTCGCCGCGTGTTGAGAGTGCCGAGAATCTTTCTACTACGAATAAAGTCAGCAAGGAATCCACCAATATTGATAACAACGAAATAAGCAACATAAGGAACTGCAGAAACCATGCCAAGCTAAAAAGGGTGCATGATATTCTAGCCTTCACTAGTGCCTAAGTAAGGACATGTCGAAGTAAAAAGCTTCAAATTGTCATCACTTTGACAAATATGCGCTGATCCTATGGAGTTGCTTCGTAGAGAATGAACAAAAATTTATTTCAAAAGTGATAAAACGACTTACCGAGGACAAATCCAATCCAAGAACATCTTTCAAGAATGAGGGGAGTGATACCAGCATTGTGTATGCACCCCAATCACCTGCGAAATGTCCAAACCAGCATGCCCAAACAGCACGAGATGAAAGGATACTGCCCCACGGCGTGTCGGGATGCTTAACAAGTAATCTCATAAATCAAATTTCAGGGTGGTTGCACATCTGAAGTGACCAACCTTTCCTGTACGCTTTCCAGTCGACGCCTCTACTGCTTTCGTGATGTATTCCTTTTCGGCTTCCGAAATTCGAGGATGATCACTCGGTCTGTCGGTAATCACATATGTCCAAACACCGCACCAAATCACGCCGATAACTCCTACAACACGAAAAAATAATCAAAAAACAAAATCAATTACTGATAATGCATCTCCCAGAAAAACTATATCCTTGGAGACAAGATAAAACAAACCAACCAAGAGTGTAGAAAATACTGGGCCAACCGCCATCGAACCCATATTGACAGAGAAAACCAGAAAGAGGTAGCACAAAAACGTTTCCTATTTGAGCACCTATAAAAAAAGATTGAAGAATTCCTTATCGAGTTGTATATATGATCGGAACAGAATAGAAGTAGAATATACATACCTGCATAACTACACCAGTTAACACTGATAATTCAAGAGGTGGTCCCCAAACAGACCACATGGTATGCATCGCAGGGAAAGTAGCACCCTGTTATGTTAATAATGAAAAACGTAATAGATGCCATAAAAATGGAATGGTATGGCAAGAGTGTACCTGAAGGAATCCAATAGCAACGCGAAGACCTGCGAGAATGTAGGCATGAGTACGAGCGGCTACTGGACTTGCCAATGTGAGTAATGAAGAACCGAGAATGGTGGCTAAGATTACTCGTTTACCACCGAAACGCGAGGCGAGGTAACCACCGAGTACCTTAAAATGTTGCAACTCGTGAGAGGACATTTAGAGAACAGGAAGCAAATAAAGACTTGCCTGACTTCCCAAATAGCCCCAGAAAAACGCTCCCAAAATGTGTCCCTGTGTGGCTTTGCTCCACTCGAATTCACCTTCCACCTGTAAACAACATGTTCACATCTAGCATTTGGCGACTTCTTGAATATCATATTGGATTTTTGTTAATCTCTTCTCTAAAATGTTTGAAGTTAGCGTGATCACTCCATCGCCTGGCAAATGAGAAGACGAAAAACGGAAAATGCAGAAAAAACCAAGCAATTTATGAAAACAGCAGTTTCAGGGAACCAAAACTAAAACAAGTGAGTGAACACGACTACGTGCTTGTACAGTGAAGGAAATCATAGTTTCGCCACCACAGACATGCCTTTATCTAGCATCAGCATGAAGCCGATGATGAAGATGTTTAGTTTCCAAAAATCCACTCTTTGCAAATGTTGTGTGGTCGCTCCAGTACCTCGTGTGATTGCGTGTTAGGAGCAGTTGATACATACAAAATGCTTGCTCCTCAACTGCGTGAAAAAGAAAGAAATATTATTCCATCGAAAACGCCTTTACGCCAGTTCTCGTCAAAATTGTTATAGGCGAAAAAATGAAGAGAAAAGAGTTCGTGGCTGAAATAGACCTGGCCCGGTCAGAGCCTACCCGCAACCCGCTGACTGAAAGGTTCTGGTTTCTCAATTGCTTCCGACGAAATATTTTGAAAAGCATAACAACCATTTATTTAGAAAAAAAAATTGTCAGTGAAGCTCTACTTCGCTGCAGAAAATTTAATAGTAAAGTGCAGAATAAACGGGTGGAGGTTTCAGAATATTTCCTCAATGCTAAAGATGTCGATTAACCGACCTACTACAGATCCCAGTAACATCTCAAAAAACAAGGTAAACAACAAACTTGTGCAACGCAAAGTATCTATAGACACTAAATTTTAGAAAGTTTTGGTAACATACCTCAAACAAAATCAGAACTACTGTAGATTATCCGGTAAAGGAAGTGAAAGCAGCTTGACTCACGTCGTTCGTAGTATTTCTAGCGACGATTTCTTTGCCACATTTGTTCAAGGCTCCCTCTTCGAATACTTCGGTAGTTTTGTTCTCGATCGCCATACAAACAATGGGCAAAACGCATGTTGGTTCGAAGTGAATACGTGACTAGACATCCGAAGAAGCATAATATGGCCAGTATAAATCTTGTGGACGGGATTAGCGCTGAAAACAACAGATTCATCATTCATCCACAACAACTGAGCGTTTAGAACGCATTCTGGATCTATAATAGAAAAACATCCACTCTGCTCTTCGTCCCATCGAATGAAATGTGATCTAACTTCTCTTGCAGCGCAGTAAACAAAGGAAAAAAAAATTAAGGATCACTCCACATATGACGAAGGGTATAGTCCTGGCGTCGGAGGTTACCAAGACTTTAGAAATTACAGGTACTGACCCAACTGTGAAATTGAAATGCCTCTCAACCAGATTTTTATCGATGACTTCGGTTATCCCTTATGATTTTTACGGGGATAACTATAGCACCCTTATGAGTATCATAATGCATTACATCAGTCAGATGTTACAGATGTTTCTGGGTCTAACTCAGGTTACCAAAAAGACTCGGTTGCTCACCTTTTTCCTCTTTTTGGGATCCCTTTTTGATGAAATCGGACTAGGCACTATACAAGCATAAAGAGAACAAGCACTCCACATTGACTAAACTCTTTCTGGAATGCGCCACGCATCCCACCCACTCACGTATCCAATCGTACATGGCGGCACTTCCTTACGACAATGACTTGAGAGGGTCAGCCGTTTGTTTGTCAGTTTTCCATTCCCCTGGATAGGTCTGGTACCAATTAAGAGACCCCGACGCGATGAAGATCTTGGTTGGCCTGAGCGTGAATCGAGTAGGGGTTTGACTCCCTGAAAGTGCGCAAGGTAAATGGCGCTTCTTCCACCACCCTTTGAGTAAGTAAAGTCATCATACTTTTAATCTCCTCCACAAATCAAGATTCTACATTGCAGGTCACAGAACCCTTTTGACCTCTCCACTTTCTACATATTAATTCCTAAATAATCAGTTCGCAACACATTTTACAACAGGAATAATAATTTCTAGTTTGTTTTGGTTTTTTCAACTGCTGCCTTTCGCCCTGAGCGGCTCGTCACGTTGCACTTGAGAACTGAAAAGCCATGGTGAATATACGATTGAAAACTAAGTTAAGATGAAGCGGTGACCTGGTTCATGTAATCGGTAGCACAACTGCCCGTAAGCTCAATTATTGATAAAACACTGCCGCGGGAGGGAATCCAACCCGCATCTCCTGCTTCCCCGGCAGCTCTGCAACCGCTTACACTAGCAAGGTACCGCTTCATCTGTACCCAGTTCCCAATCGTATACACTTCAACTTCTCAGTCTCACGTATAACATGATGAGTTGCGCCGATAACAACTGTGAAACGTGGAACTGAAATGTTCAACAGCAGGAATCCTTCCGACTGGGATTACATCTTCTGCGCAAAAAAATCAACAAACTTTGGCGAACATTTTTAGCTGTTCGCATTAATGCAAAATCGAATTGTGCCAGAATAGTTTGCCGCTATTTATGTGGGAGCATTGGACTCTTCACATTCTAGAGCCTTATTTATGGTTTCACATGCAATCTGACGCAATATGATGCAATGCTATGCACCACCTAAGACAACGTATATTTGCCTGGCGAAAGGGAGCATCCAATATTCGAGTCGATGTTAAATCAGTGACCTTTTCAATGCACTTGTGCTAATGTTTTCATGCGGCCACGTCATCGACCTCTCGCCGAAGGCTGGGAAAATGACGCGAACACCGCCCACATATTAGAAAACCCCACGCAAAATGAGAGGACTTTTCGCCATCTGAATGATTACGGAAAAGAGCTTTCAGTTTGTAAAGGTCAGAAATACCACTCAGAACAAAACACTGGAGGTTTTCAATTAGGCACCTATAAAGATTGCAAGGGGGAGGATTCCAAAGATTTTCACATAATCTGCTGAATTACCAAGATTATCATTATTAGTGGTGGTGGTTACTTTGTAAACTTCCAGATATATTTCTAAATTTGAGTGAATGAAATGATCCCATAGTTTTGCATAAGAAAGAATACATGATTTCCAAAATACCCTCTAATGAGGGACAATGAACAAAATTTAGCAGTCAACAGTCTGAGAACGACTTAATGGGGCACTTTACTGAATGGATCTTTTTCAAAAGCACCGCGTTCCCTAAAGATCTTGAGCTGATTTGAGATCGGAATCTTTTTCACATCACCTGCATGAGAGAAAGAAGAGATATGTATTGCGTCTGCATAGCTTTGTAGGGCTATGCTAAATGGGTGGATTTGTAATCCAGAAATTGAGCCTCCAATAATGTAGGAAGAACAGCTGCGTAGAGCTTTGTTAGAGATATTTTATTGAAATTCCAAAACAATTGGAAGACCAAATAATCATTTTG